TTTGAAATGGACTTTATGTTTTGAGGAATGTCATTCCATGCTTTAGTATAAACATAGAAGAAAGACCTCTGGCCGTAACAGTTTTAAAAGTTGGTTATGTCAGTTGTCCTTTTGTAACATCATTAAAATAAATCTACACAGGACTGATATGATCAAATATGGATTATGGAAGTATAATTTATGGATCAGCAGCTAAAACACATTTGGAAAAATTAGACACCATACAACATCAAGCATTAGTATTATGTACATGGGCATTCAAAACAACATCAACAGCAGCACTGGAGGTAGAAATGGGAGAAATGCCTTTAGATTTGAGAAGAAAACAATTAGCAATATGGGATAAATTTACAAAGAAATAACCCAGATCATCCTGTACTTGACATTTTAAACACATGCTGGGAAAAGGAAATAAAAGGAAATAAGAAGTTTTGGTTGGTTGATTAAAAAGACAATAGAAGATATTCAGATAAATAATTTAGAAATCAGCTCAATAATACCATTGTCTGTTATACCACCTTGGATTTTACCACAAGCCACAGTAGATATGACATTATTGGAAAATAAAAAGGATAAATCATATAATATGAATTCACAAACAGTTCAGTTATATGTAAACAATTATTACCAATACATTCAGATTTGTATAGATGCATCAAAAACATCAGAAAAATAGGAATAGCATTTATAATGCCAGAATTTCAAATACAAATTAAAAAACGAATCAACAATGGAGTATCTGTATATACTGGAGAGATGTTAGCTGTTCTATTAGCAATAAAGTGGGTGGAGGACATTAAACCATTAAAAACGATTATTTGCTCAATTTCAAGTTCCACGTTGTTAAGTTTGAAACACAATCATTCAGACAGCAGACCAGACATTTTATTATAAATATTACATACCTTATACAGAATCCAAAACATGGGTTTAAATGTAGTTTTTGTATGGATACCAGCACATGTTGAAGTGGAGGGAAACGATATAGCAGATAAACTGGCAAAGAAGGCAACTCAAAATCCCTTTAATTCCATGGTAGATACAAGTAAATCAGAAGCAAAGAGTATCGTTAAACAAAAAAATCAAAAAAGAATGGCAAAAAAGGTGGGATGAAGAAAGAAGAGGAAGATGGTTTTATAGAATCAAAAAGATGGAAATGAAAAGGGGGAGAAGAAACAGGAAAGAGGAAAGATTAATAACAAGATTAAGATTTGGACAAACAGGACTCAGTCATTCTCTATTTAAAATAAAAAAAGCATGATACGGGAAATGTAACCACTGTGGAAAGGATGAAACAATACAACATGTGGTATTTGAATGTTATCAATATAAAAGAAGAGAGAAAATATGTGAGGAAAGAGTTTGAAAGAAATAAAGAAAAAATAAACATAATAGACACTTTACAAAAGCATTTAGGGAGAAAATCAATACAAATTWAAAWAAGATTTTTAAAAATTTGATTAATAAAGTTTGAATATATAGTTTGTACACAAACAACAATTTAGAAATACTTAACATCTGAACCACACTCCATACCAGTCAGTGGCGGTATTGCACACCAAATGTTTTTGCCAACCGCCAAAAATAAATAAATAAATAAATAAATAAATAAATAAATAAATAAATAAATAAAATCCAGAAGAAGAAGGAGAACATTATGGGTGACATACCAGAGTTCAAAAAAGGACAAATTATTGGTGCACATTTTTCTGGCGCATATGCGACCAAGACAGCAAGTCTTTGTGATGTAGCAAGTGTCCAGGGTAATGTCAGCATACCACCAAGAAGGACGAACCACATCCAACAGGATTAACTGTGGATGCAAGAGGAAGCTGTTTGAAAGAGATGTTATGGTCTAAAACCAGGTGTTTAATTTTCAGTGTTTAATGGCCAATTTGTAGTTCAATAATATATGCTTATCGTATATTATAAAATCTGCTCCTAACAGTGCAACACTTTCATGTTTTTTCTAAATCCAGAAATTACATCTTGACATTCTGGTTCTTTAGTTTTTTTTTCCATTGACCCCCCACAATGAGGTCAGATAAAATGCAGTACAACAAATAATGTTCCTTTTGGTATTTGGGGGCTTTATGAGCAACACTTTTATCAGTTTTGTCTTCTGTAACAAAGTCCTTTTTATCACAAGTTCTCCTATATGATCAGATAGAGTCCTCAGTCAGCTACCATAATTGAATTATCTGGYCTTTGCCGGAAAATGAAGTCACTCAATCGCCAGAATCTGTAGCGTCCAAATATGTGGACATTGGTGTTTCTCATGCCTTGCAATTGTTTTTCTTGAACCGCCATCCTAGCAGATATCTGATGCTCCACATGATGTTCCCCTCTCAGTTACATCTTCAAGTACTGCTCCTGGGTCCACTTCCAAATCATCTTGGTCAGGTTATTCAGCACAGCTGATCTTTCTGCAAAGCAAGTACCAGTCTGTTAAATAAAATCTTGCTAAAACAGGGAAGAACTGGGTTCCTGTAACTTTGCAACTTGAGACTCGGTCTTTCCAAATGGAATAACATAAATCACTTCACTTGTGCAGACTGGTTATTGTTGATGTCCAGGTTTTGGTTCATGCAGCACCTCCAGGAGGTAGACTGCATGTTCTTCCAGGGCCGTATGCCATTTGCAGATTAGTGTCCCACATCGAAACATAACCCATCAAGCCAAACTTGCAGAGTGCTTTTTCAGATTCTAATTATATCCTTGCGGTTCTCRAACTTCCCGTAATCTCTGACAACGTGTACACCTGCTGGAATAATTTGGACACGGTTGTTCCTCAGTCTGTAAGCATTTGTTTGGCTATTCTTGTACCAAAATAAGAGCTGCAGAAGACAGCTGGAGTTGTCAGGCCTTAAAGAACTGGAAGTGGAAAGCTTCRGTTTAGCAGTGGCGGAGCCAGGGGGTGGCCAGGGGTGGCCATGACCACCACAGAKAAATCTTTGGCCACCCAATTGGCCACCCTGCAGTACAGACCCCTTCAACAGTGAAACGACCTTTTGGGGTGTAATAATCCTCCTGAACAGTTGGTGGCAGTGTTTAACAGTTTGAAACATCACTGAAGAAGTGCAATGAKAAGGATGTGATGGTTTTCTTTAAACACAGAACATATGCTTATGTAATCTGACTTATGGTGTCAACTTTTTTTAAAACTACAGAAACCAAACCATAAATGTTAAATCAAAACAAGTGWCAACAACAACTTCACAAAAAGCACAACTAGAAAATGTCCATACATTGTTATCACTAGACTCCCCCAGTATCTTTCTCAGCTCACCCAGGCTCTCTAAAATTAACTTTCAACAAGAACATTTATTTTATTTTATTTTTCAGTTAAAATATAGCAGAATGCAGGAAATGGCATCTATTTCATTCAAAATTTTCTGGAAGAGGACACCCCACCAGTGTGTCCCCCCACTTTTAAAATGGTTCATTAGGTAGTCACTCCCTGTTTAAGGACATAAGAAAATGAACAAAGCACAAAGATCCTCAAGAAACTTTCAAGGAAAAAATTGCTTTCCTGGCCACCCCTGTGTGAGTAGTGGTCCCAGTCTGGCCACCCCTGAGAAAAATGGCTGGCTCCGCCACTGTCATATAGAGTGGTACTGATTTTTACATGACTTCCTCTATTGTGACTTTTATTTGATCTTTCAAAAGATGTCACTGACGAGCAAAAACGGTAAAAAGATATGAAAAAGCATGCTGATGTTCTTCAAAAAAAAAGTTAATCACTTCTAAAAAGCATGTCAGTTGCTGGTGTTCAAATTTTTTTTTTTTTTTTTGCTTTTTTTTTTTGGGGAATTTTGACGAGTCCAACTCTGAACACAGCCACCAATGACCCCCATGACCTGGAGAGGAATAGCCGGTATGGATGGATCTCCTGCCTCATTTAAGCAGATACCAGAACAAATGAAGCTTTAAACAGTTCAGTTTACAGTTTCCTTATAAGTCAAACGCTGAACTAAGAACATTTATAGTTTCACTCAAACTTTTTTTGCCTCATCTTTCATATGAACACCAAAAACAGCTGTTCTTTTCCCCTAAAATATATCAAAGCTGTTTGAGTTAACAAAATGTGAATCAATTCACAAGATTTTAGCCATATTAAAGTGTTTATAATGTAATATAAAGATAAACATATTCATTTCTTGGCCACCTACAGAACCTTTAAATGATCTGATGTACCCTGGAGTGTAACGCTTCTTTATTTCCTCAGGCAGCTACTAATCAATGTGATGTGGAGCACCTGTGCTGGGTCAGGATAACCAAGGTACATTCAATAAATACATTATAAAAAACACTGTCTGTGCACATGTGCTCCTTCTTTTAATTGCAAATCAAAGCTCCGGGTGCCAGTTAAAGTGCAAAGGTGCTCAGATACAGTGCTGTACAGGTAAATACAATTTATATTTTCTATAATGAAAACCTCTTTTGAAAAGATTGACCACTTTTGTCTGTCTGTAATGGAGGCTGAAGCTATGGCCTCCTAACTCAAACAGGAAATGAGTGGAAAACAGCTTAAATAGTTCTTAGTACATAAATCAAGCTCTTCTTCTTTGAAGCTTTTTAAAATTTAAAATAGGATGTCTGGTTGAATTAAGTGCAGCACGTCACTGAACGTAAGGTGTGCGTGTTTGATATGTAATCCCGGCAAACAGTTAATTGTTTTGATTGCTGTTCTCAGATTTTAACTTTAATTCGCCACTTGATTCTCTAACTCAAAAGTTAACTGGGAAAAAAAAGCTTCAAATACTCTGATTAGTTTGAATACGGAACAAAAAGGAGAGGGGGAAGTTACTGAACGAGGTAAACTATTGCTTTTTAGAAATTCAAAGTGAAATTTGGACTGCCGGGGTATTGTGGTGACATTTTGCAAAATTGAAATTATTCAGCCTTAACTGACTTTTTTTTTCCCCTGTTGGAGCTGTTGATTATCTAAGAGGAGTTGAGTAATTGTCAGTAATTGATATCTTCAGAGAGACTGTTTTCTAGGTCTAGCCTTTTTTTTTTACTTTTTCTTTTTCCTCTTAAGGTTACTATTGATCTTCTCATCACGGTGCATTTCCCAATATTCTGAACAAGTTTTCCTGTGATCCAAGGAATGTTGGACCATAAAATGAAATGAGACAAATCACTAAAACTACACAATAAATTGCTTAGCAGCATTGCTTGCAGTGAGAGGAGAAGAAAAGAACTGTGTGCATTTGTAGATGCATGTTTTTTTTCTCCTCTCCCTCTTTTTTTTCTTTGGGAGGGTGTGTGTGGAGTGAATGTGTGCTCACTCACCCAAAAACAAAACTAAAAAACAGAGTTCATTGTATTCTGATGCTACCTGAGATTGTGTGAATACTTTGAGTTCCCTATTTAAATCAGACTCTGATGGTGGAATTTGTATTGTGTGTGTGTGCTTGTTTAGGGGTGCAGTTGTATTTAATTGGGACTGATTAGATTTATTTTAATGAAAAAAATTTGGTCCTCACTTTGAGACATGATAAAAAATCTGTTTTGGGGATAAAACAGGATTTTAAAGTCCTGATTGTGATCAGGTTTCTGTTTGGCTAAAAATGGAACCCTTAAGAGGTGATTTAGTCTTTTCTAGAATTTTAAATAAAAAAAATTTGGTTATCAAACAAACAAGCAGGAAAAGGATCACAATTTAATTGATGTAATAGCAGATTTTAAACTCAGCAACATTTCTATCTTTAATTCCTGTCTTGATTATTTTAGTATTTTGGGAGATAAACTGATGTTCTGGATTTAAGACTCTTAATTGGAATAAATTTGTATATACTGTAACTGCAAGTCTTGGGAAGATGTCTTGAGGGGAATTAAAATGTGAAAAATGTGATTGCCCCCCCCACCCCCACCCCGTTTCAAACATGAACCTGTGATTTAAGATGCTCTTCTTCCTTTACCCACATCCCAAAGCAAATCAACAATAAAGCAAACACACGAGCAGTCATCAGTCAAATATTTGTCCGGTGCACAAGTGTGGCAGTCCTGTTTGCGCTGCCAAAGTTTCGGTTAATCGCAGATCGCTGTGAAACACGGTTCAAACGAACTGCGTCACCTCAGCTGTGACTTGTGTGTTTATTTTCAAGAGGGGGGGCATTTCCACGATCTGTCAGGGGTCATACGATCCATAAATGAACGGTGGGCTCGACAGCCACACCATGAAGGACCGGTCCCTGATTGGCTCGATGCTGGCAGGAATAAACACTCTCAGGGTATATAATGCTGTAAAAGTGTGACAGTTCCAGGAAACAAGAAGTCTCTCTTAGGAGAAAAAAAAAAAACTCCTAACAATACGTTTTGACTTCAAAGAACCAGAGCTGAGGATGAGGGCGCAGATCCAAAAAGTTCCTCAGATCGTTGAGCTGCTGAAGAAGAAGACTGTGGGGCTGCAGCACTTCAAGCCAACATCCTCTGTGTGCGTCCTGGAGCAAAAGGATGCTGTGGAGGCTGCGCGCTGCCCTCACGCCGCCTCTAGGGCGCACAGTTTGGACACGATGCCGGGACCCACCAACTGGCCCCTGGTTGGCAGTCTGATCCAGCTCCTGTGCAAAGGAGGACTCAGGAGACAGCACGAAGCGCTGGTAAGGCGTTATTTAAAATCGTTTTACGCATTTATTTGTGAGCAGAAAGGTTAATGTCATCACGGGTCTAAGTTATTTTTTTATTTTTTTTTTTATTTTTAATTTTATGATTAATGACGTTTTCTTCATTTTTCAGATTGACTATCATAAAAAATTCGGCAAAATTTTCCGCCTGAAGCTGGGTTCCTTTGAGTCGGTGCACATTGGCGCTCCCTGCTTACTGGAGGCGCTCTACAGGAAGGAGGGCAGTTGCCCTCAGAGGCTGGAGATCAAACCCTGGAAAGCTTACAGGGACATGAGGAACGAGGCGTACGGACTCCTCATCCTGTAAGTAGGCTTTCTGTCCCTCCTCGGACTAATTAGGACGCAGCTCGGAGCGCAAAACTGAAATGTTCGGTGCTAAAATGTGGATTTAACGCTGATTGCAGGGAGGGGAAAGACTGGCAGAGAGTCAGGAGCGCGTTTCAACAAAAACTTATGAAGCCAACAGAAGTGGTGAAACTCGATGGAAAAATAAATCAGGTGAGTCTGAGACGTGGTCAGAACCTGTTTTATTCATTTCTAGTGTTTTTTTTTGCCCCGAGCAGCGACTGACTCTTTTCTGTCTGTGAAAACAGGTCCTGGTGGACATGGTGGACAGAATTGGAAAAATAAATGTCGATGGGAAGATTGAAGACTTGTACTTTGAGCTGAACAAGTGGTCGTTTGAAAGTGAGCGCAGCCATCTTTTCGTTCCCTTTTTTACATAATTTTAATTTCTAATTGTGGTTAAATCATTGTTTGGTCAAAGCAAATGGAAAATTGAATTTTGAACAAATCCTCCTTTTTAAAMTTTTGATTTAGTCTAAAACTGACATTTTATGTGCCTTGATATAAAATTAGAAAACTGCAGCATGGGAAAAACGTGATTCTTACCCTCTGAAATGACTAAAAAATATTAGTTTCCAATTATTGTGTCAAATTATTTTTTACCTAAAAGTAAAAAAAAATCAACTTGACTGCAAAAGTCATATTAAAGTTTAGTTGAAACTTCATTTTCAAAATCTTTGCCCCTTTTTTGTCTTGCAGCCATTTGTCTCGTGTTGTATGGCAAGAGATTTGGTCTTCTGAAGGAGAAAGTCAACGAGGAAGCCATGAACTTCATCACCGCTGTGAAAACGGTGAGTATTTTTCAGAAACAATGTGTAGTTCTAATAATAGCTGTAATGATCTGTGCTCATTATATTCTGGGAAGTCACAGTTCATCAGGTTTACATCAGGCAGCTGAAGCAGAAAAATACTTGAGATTTTTTGACGCAACCAAAGAGTGGAGACTTGCAGTGAGAGTGACAATAATCCTTTGTTTTTATTCTTTGCTTTCTGTAGATGATGAGCACGTTTGGTATGATGATGGTCACACCAGTGGAGCTCCACAAGAGCTTCAACACCAAAACGTGGCAGAACCACACTGCAGCATGGGATCGCATTTTCAGCACAGGTACAAAACACAAACAACAAAAAAATACGCTTTTCTTGTGCTTTGTGACGTAAATGAGTTCACAGCCCAAAACTCTCATTCCACAAAGCCTCCGGTACTCTGTTCTGCTCCTCCTCTCTTCTGTGACGCACAAAGTAGTTTGAGGTCACATCCAGTCAGATGATAGGAAAATAAGAGCGTGGGTGGGGAGTTCGATTTGAACCGGCTGCCTTCTTGTTTTGTGGACTTGGCACTCGGGATAAACAACGGGTTGTAGAGTTGTAGTAAACCGCCTGACCCGGGGTGGAGAAATATGCCAACAATTTCTACTCCCAGAAGTTTAAGGGACAAAAGTATTGAGGAACGATGCTGAATACAATTGCTCATAAAGATGCAGATATAGACATCTGTCCTTTCTTTTCTCTCTTTTTTGACAACTTTTTTATTAGACGCATACATTGAGTAACAATTTGGGCCAAAACTTATATTTCATAAATTATGCGGCCTGTTTGTGCAAAGTGACTGAGATCAGACAAGTGGTTGGAACATAATTTTATCACTGTTTTGCAGTCTGCTGAATAGAATAATCTATAAAAGGCAAGATCATTTGGGCTAAAATTGAAACTTACAAATTCCAAAGTATTTTAATGGTTTCCAGTGATGTGAACCCAAGAAAAGCATCCCATGGCCACAATAATTATCCATAATTTGCCTTTAGTGTGACAATTTCAGTCAGCCTGATGACACTTAACAGAGCTCCTGTAGTAAAAATGTCATTCTGTATCTCTCCATTCACTGTCCCAAAAAGGAGGAACAATGATTGTACTTTTTTGATCGACAAAGGTTCAACATGTTAGCTACTATTGCCTGTGTAGACACAGATATGCAAATCTGTCTGTTCACACATTGACTGCTTTGTCCTCCCTCAGCCAAAGTCTACATCGACAAGAAGCTGAAGAGGAATGCCACCAGGGATCCTGATGATTTAATCGGAGAAATCCTGCAGCAAAGCTCGCTCTCCAAAAAGGAGCTATATGCAGCAATCACCGAGCTGCAGATTGGAGGTGTTGAGACGGTGAGTAATAGTTTGTACCGATGCAATCATTGCTAACGTTGCTCAAAATAGTCTAATTCTAAGGTTATATGTTGTCCATTTAAAACATGAACTGGTTTGGAACAAGTGCCCAATCATTCCCCTGTTTTTCAGCTCTAAACCTGCTCGAGGGGCCACTATCCTGCACGTTCTAGAGGTTTCTCTGCTCCAGCACACCCGATTCAGTGATTCAAATGCTGCAGAAGCCTGTTGCATCACCCATTAATTTAAATCAGGTGTGTTGGAGCAGAGAAACCAAAACATGCAGGTTAGTGGTTCTGCTCTGCAACAAAAAGTTTACTTGACAAACGCTTTTCCCTTCTGTCAGTCCAAATCCCAGCCCATTGTTCATCAGTTGCACAGTTTCCATTTTATATTTGTGAACATGGAGTGTTTTCCCCTTTTTAAGAAATCAGAGGGAAAAAAAACAAGAACAGCTGTTTCTGTTGCTGTACTTCAAAATAAATGTGGTGTGGATGAAGCCATAGAGCCAATGAGGAAGCCCAGACATTCCTCAGCTCCTTTCGGGACCCCACTGAGGAATGTACTTGTAGTAGCTGCCTCACTGACGTCTTCACTCTGCCTCCCTGCTTATGTTTTCTCTCTCTTTCCCCTCCTTACTCTGTGTACAGACGGCCAACAGCATGCTGTGGGTTATTTTCAACCTGTCTCGCAACCCCGCTGCTCAGACGAAGCTGCTGCAGGAAATACGAGAGGTGGTGCCTTCCGGCCAGGACCCCTGTGGAGAGCACCTGAAGAACATGCCCTACCTCAAGGCCTGCCTCAAGGAGTCCATGAGGTACAGCACAACTCTTAGGAAAAGTTATGAACAAGGGTGACATTACCAAACAGTCTAAATGCACAGAAGATCTCAGCAGAAAAAAATGTAGATCATACATCTCATGTGCTCCCCTTTTTAGCATTGTGTAAAAGACATAACTATAATTATGAAAAAAAATTTATCAACATGCTGTTCATATCAGTTTAAAAGTTGTTGTAGATATCCTTAAGATGCATACGTCTCAGATGATTTAAACTTGTGATTCCCACCAGCTCATACACATGCCTGCCTGAAAAAAGCTCCAGACAGAATGTTCACGCAACAAATTTCCCATAGTTTGAGTGTAAAATTCACCATGTGGTCCAGTTTAATTCACTGTCTCCATTCTTTCATGACTTCCTGTGCGGTCACGAGAGCTGCGTGTTATTTAAAGTGAGCTCCACAATCACAGGGACTGTAACTGACCTCTGACTGGAGATTATCTCGCCTCACGTTGCACAGTGGAAGTCTGGCTCCTGTAAAACAGCTTAGACATCTTTGTAACGCTGTAAGTTGTTTTCTCATGTTTTTATGTTTTTGTGATTTCATGCAGGTTGTCTCCGTCGGTTCCATTCACCAGCAGAACTCTGGACAAAGACACTGTGTTGGGAGATTATACCATTCCCAAAGGGGTAAGTGGCTTATTTCTTAAAACGCCTGACATTTGGAGATTACTTTCTTGGGTAAATTTGTATTTGACTGTCTGAAACGTGCCTTAAGGTCATGCTCAAACACTGCGCATAGCCTGAATGTGGCGACACTATTTGCATGAGCCAGTCCAGTAAAGAGCTTTATGGACTTTAGACTTATATACTATATAAGTTTTTTTTATTTTACCTAACACACAGACAATACTGATTCTAAAACAAACAAATATCCATTTGTTTCATTTACAGACAGTTTTGATGATCAACACCCACGCCCTGGGGTCCAGTGAGGAGTATTTTGACGATGGAAAGCAGTTCAAACCTGAGCGCTGGCTGCGGGAGAACAGCACCATCAATCCCTTCGCCCATGTTCCCTTTGGCATCGGGAAGAGGATGTGCATTGGCCGACGGCTGGCCGAGCTGCAGCTGCAGCTTGCCATGTGCTGGGTACGAGCTCCATCAATCACATAAACCCAGGAGGGTCAGTTTATTCAGGCTTCCTAGCCTCAGGTGAAACTCATTTTGTTTTTGTTTTTTTTTTTCTTTTTTGCAGTTGGTGAGAGACTATGAAATTGTGGAAACTGACAGCAAACCACTTGATGTGATTCATTCTGGGCTTTTGGTTCCCAAAAGAGAGCTGCCAGTAGCTTTCATCAGAAGATGAGGTAAGAAGATAGATTTGTTTGTTGTTCTCTGCATCTATCTGCTAAAAAAAATCCATGTTTAATATGGATGGCTCGATGGTAAATACGAGGAATCTCGGATTAGCCAGTTAGCTTAGCCATGCTAAAAGAGTGGATGTTATTGGTAAATATTGTTTTTTTTAAGTTATTAAATTAAATTGAGAAAAAAAATGAAGGTAGTCTTCAGTTCTAAAACTTGAAGCCAGTGAGGTGGTGCCTTAATGTGCAATACCTCTACTCACCACTAGATGGGGTTAAAACATCCTGGCTCCATTTTGGCCATGTAGTTCAAATATAGTAGCTTAAGGCTTCAAAAGGTCAACTTTCAAAACCTTTTCTTTTTTTTGTTTCTGCATTTTAATTCATTGTTAGAACATGAGATGTATTCAAAGGCTTTAAAATTTGTCTTTTTCCTTTTCTTTCTCTTGAAGGCTTTATGATGAACACTTGTGGACGTAGAGACAGAAATAACACATCTGTTGCCAAGGTCCAGACTGTCCAGTGACTCCCTGAACTGCTGCTCTGTACATAAAGACTGAAATAATAATAATTGTGCCGTAAATACCTCAAACTTATTTAAAACTATGTATACCTGTTAATGACTGAACAAAAGCCCAGTTAGGTACAAAGTGAATGTTGTACCAAGGCAGCTGTTTTAAAATCTTTGTCATGTATATTTGAATGTTGATTACTTTTATATTTTTGTTTATTACCTTGTGTAAATAATGTTTAGCATAATGTATCTGAATTTTTTTCATTGTATAAAGTTTTAATATAACTGTATTGTTTAAATGTACATTGTATTGTGACGATAAATATTTTATCCACTTAAATAAATTAATAAATTCATTAAACTGTACTGTCTGTCTTCAGTTGTTTGTTTGYACTTTTAAGCTTGGGGAGTTTGCTGAAATAAAGCAGTCATTCTATTCTAGAAGAGTACAAATACTTGTATAAGACTATAATTGTCAACCAACTGGAAAGAAAATGGCTTTCTTAAAAGAGTTACTTCAAATTAACAAGGCATCCAGAATATTTTTTTCAAACATTATCAAATTTGAACAAAGTAACCTAAAAACATTACTGTTGGGGAAAAAATGGTGGAAACAAGTCTTTAATTACTGAACTGATGCAAAATAAAATGTGCAGAGTAAATAAAACAGTAAAAGCAGTATAATGCATTTTAACCCCAAAATATCCCAAACGGTTTCATAAAAGCTAATTATTTAATAAAATAGCTGAAAGCACAACTCCATTAATGGTAGAACTAAAGTTATACCCTTTAAATAACCTATATTGATAACAGGGAGGAATAGAACTGAACACATTTGTGACTTAAATGAGTTTTCCAGGAAKTGAACCACTAAACCATCTGTTTAAAAATTTAAAAACATTTAAGCCAAGAAAATGTTTAATTTGGCTTTCTGAGCTTGTGAAATAACTTTAGAGTGACCACTAGTATCACCTTTAACCTTTAAACTCTAGTGTTGACCACATAGTAAAGCAAGACAAAAACAAGATGTTTATTTTTTCAAGCCAGAAGTAAATTAATTTAATCCTGTCTCAACCCTCATAACGCCCGGTCATATAGGTTCAGTCTAATTAAACGCACCTAATCCTGAAATCATACAAACACATTGCACAAAATAGTCTGCTGTGTGTACTTCAGAATTACAGGTGTCTGTGGGTTAAGAAAGTGAGCTGTTTGTTCAGGGGATTAAACATCACGGTTATTAGGTCGGAAAAGTACAACTAAATGACATAAAAATGAAAGAGAAAAAAATAGGAACAAAGGGTGAACAAGAATGTAGATAAGCCTTGGATTTCAAAGGTTAAGCACTCAAATAATGTTAAGAATATAAAAAAGAAGTACCTTCAATTGAAGCAGAGCCACCTCACCAACATGTGAGGAACAAGACCACAAAGTCCTGAAGGAGGAAAATTACATTTATTTAAATCACTGGGTTTATTTAWAAAGAACATGGTATATACTGTATTTAACTTGTGTTTTATGATATACTGTATTATTGTTTAAATCAAGATAAGAAAAATGAACATACCCAGCAACCTATTTAGCTTTTAATTTGTTTAAACTTGAAGGTTGTTGTTAAACCAGTGTTTATCTTGTGAGAATTGTGAAAGAACCTACATATAAAACTAAATAAATATTGGTAAGATTCAAAGAGTTTGCATTAAAGCTTAAATTTTTGGTTCTCTGTCTTGTTTCTGCTTCCATTACACACCCGCATTCATTTACAAATCATTAAAGCTGCTCCTTTTCATCTTTTTTTTTTCTTTTAATAATTGTGATTTTATTCCTACCAGATTTCCAGAGTGGCTTCATTTAAATAAGGTTTCAAACAAACAAAACATCTTCAATGTTTCATACATTTAAATAAACTGGCAAATAAATGAAGCCATTACATCAAAAGTGAAATGGTCGAGGTTAATTTTAGTGCCGTCACTGCTGTAATTTACCACCYGATCCCTCTTTAGTTCTGACCTAATAAAAGGTTATCTTCATATGACAGTTCTGCAATTTTTTAATAGATATTTAGAAATTTGCCTGGAGACAATATTATACAAGTTCACACTTTTTTCAACAGAACAGAGCAGGCTCACTTGACTGTGATGTTCTCACACATGACATTGAGGTTGAACAATAGTCAAGTTCAACGGGTCTCAAAGCGATCAACGACTGATAGAAGATATAAAAAAATATTTACAACATGAATGTGTATTGATGATAAAAGGTTATTATGTTTACTGATATGCAACCTTAAATCAGGAAAAAAATGAATGGTGCAAAAAATACAAATCAGTCATGTCTCACCTATTTTTGGTCTTTTAGGTCATTGCAAAGAGCAAGAAGACAGGGGTTTTTGAGTTGCTTTTGATAAACTAGACCCACTTCCGTCCTGCAAAAAACTTGAGTCATCACTTTTTTGGTGTATGTTAAAGGCCTGATACATAAATATGCATCTAAGGAAATACAACACAGTTGATAAGAGAATTTTCACTTTTTTCCTGAGTGTTTTTATTTTAGCAACTYATGAATGAAAGCTGGAGCAACACCTCTGAAGTGTCAGAGATTACAGGTGCCTGGCTTCAGCTTTTGGCCTCTGGCTTCTTTTTGCAAAGAAATTCCTATAGAGTCCTCAATCCTTTACTCTTGTTATGCAGTGTTTGAACTTTTCTTTGAACATTGTTTTGATTTTTTATTGTTTTTCTCATTTTGTCCAGTTTTGCTCAAAAACACTTTTTTTTTTTGCTGATGTTGGTTCTGTATCATATTATGATTATATTCACCTTTTATTGAAAGATGCTTGTTCATTTTATCCTTACTGTCCATTCTAAGTGAATCTTGCATGGTCCCCSTGTGCACATGTGGATTTTCTCTGCCAGACCGAAAACATGCATGAGGATGAGTGGGTGTCTCGTTTGTGGTTGTGTGGTGGACTTGCTACCTGTCCAGCATGTACCRCACTTCTCACACAGTTGGAGGTAAGCATCAGCTCCCTGTGACCCAGAAAACTGCAGCAGTCCAATGTGTTCCTGGGGGGAGTGGAGCTTGACCTTYTAGAGGAATTTTACTACCTCGGGGTCACACTGGACTCAACACTTTCATTTAAAAACACTTATCAAACCACTACAAACACAAATTCAATCAATAAAACTTTAAGCAAATCAAATCATCAGTGATAATAAATTCTGCTAAAATGTTCCTCTACTCCGTATGTTGCGGGTGTTTCHGAGAAACTGAGACGTTTATTTTCTAAARATGATGTCCCAGTYGCTTTCAAACCCCAAAACACATTACGGCAAAGGCTGGTTCACCCCAAAGATCTGGTGCCCCMGCACAAACAGAGCAATGTTGTATATGCTGTTAAGTGCCAGGAGGACTGCGACCAGTTATACATCGGGGAAACAAAGCAACCACTGTTCAAAAGAATGTCCCAACACAGACGAGCTACATCTAATGGCCAGAACTCTGCAGTTTTCACTCATTTACAGGCCAGCGGTCACTCTTTCAGAGATGAGGATGTTCTCATTCTTGATAGAGAGGAACYTTGGTTTGAGAGAGGAGTAAAAGAAGCCATTTTTGTGAAGAAAGACCATCCATCTTTAAACAGGGGTGGAGGCCTCCATTTTCAGTTGTCCCCCTCCTACAGCACTGCTATTGCCAGTATCACTCCACCCCCTGTTAACAATAGGTGTTAATTAGGTGTCAACGATAGCCATGTGATGTGAGTATCAGTCACATGGAGGCAGGYCTTAAAAGCCTGAATTTTGCCTGAAACTCTCWGWCTGAAGAAGTCTCTTGGAGYAGAGACYAAACGTTTCATTAGAGAAGAACCCYTCCAGAAGACCTATACAAATTTTTTTTCTTTTTGTTTCTACTCAATGATATTTTCACACCGACAACTGCATCACAACCTGGTCACTCACTGGAGACACAACTTTAAAACCAATAGAAATGTTATTCAAAAAAATCTTTACAAATCTTTGATCAAAAGCCTGTCTTTAATTTACAAAGTTCTCAATGGATCAACCTCACCTCCACTTTCTATATACTGTACATTAAACCYAGGACTGACAGAAGTTTTAACAGAGCCTCCTCCAGAGGAGATCTAGAGATCCCATACAGGAAAAATTACCATTGGACAAATTGTTCTGTCAGTCAGAGATCACATTTGGAACAATCTCCCAACAAACATAAGGAAATGTCCCAGTTATTGCACACTTGAAAAGCACACTAAACAGTATTTTAAAAGTTCCAAGTCATGTACTCACTTTGAATATTTTCATTGTTGTAATATAATTTGTCTGAACATCTTTGTTTTGCTTGATTTTGTATCTTGTGCTGTTTTGTTTTCCTGAACACCTCATGTTGTTTTGTCTTCCTGCCCCAGGACAACATATGTAAATTAGCTATGCTATAATCTGGCTCATTTACCGTCTATACAGAAGTATAAGATAGTTCATTAATGTGCACCATATAAATAAATAAATAAATAAATAAATAAATAAATAAAAGCAGCTAAAGCAGAAGGATGGATGTACAGTCAGTAGTTTCAGTTGGTGCTATTTGCAGTCTATGACACTAGATGTCACTGTGTCCCATTCAACTTGACCTTAAAGTAATAATAATAATAATAATAATAATAATAATAATAATATTCCAGAAACACTGATAAAACATTGAGAAAAAATGCATTTAACTCACTGAGGAGGCCCAGAGGAAGACCCACATGGTAAGAGTGTAACAATTTTTAAATACGTAAAATACTATGTTTTTTAGGTTTTAATTTGTATTTTTACTCTATTGAATTTGCCTTAAAGAAGTGTACTACATGACAATACAGTGGAACACTAATTACTTTATCAAGCAATTCGTTTATTTCTGTATTTATTTCCAATTTRGGCAGGAAACGTCCTCCATACCATATTGCCACCTAGTGGACAAGAGCTGCAAGCGTTAGTATTTCATTTTGAAGCGAGTTTTTTTTATACTGAATGAACGAAATGTTTCCTTTTAATGTATTTTTTWAAAAATATCAAGCCAAGTGAACACACAGGAAGAGATTAGGCGTGTTTGCACGCGCGCGCGCACACTCGCGCGCAAACAGGCAGGTCCGCACCTTGTTCATCCTCCCCGCTGACAGGAAGCGCTCAGTCTTTCTCTTCTGATGCTCGATTTAAGCAGCTGCTCGTGTTTTTCCGCAGCTTTAACTCGGTTCTTTGTTTTGTTTTGTTTTGTTTTGTTTTGTTTTGTTTTGTTTTGTTTTCTTCCCCTCTTTGTGAGCAACTTTCACAAAGTGCGCGAGTTTGGAAGATTTAGGGAGATTTTCTCGTCGGGAGGTAATCGGTAGAGAAAAACGGAGAGATGAGTTCTGGAGGTTTGGGGCTCAGCGATGGGCTGGGGCAGGACATAAGCCAGCAGGAGTTGGACTTCACCGACCTGTTCTTGGACCCAGGTGTGTACCTACTTCATGTTGGAYTGAGATTTCTTCTGGACTTACTTAAAATGAAGATTTAATGACTTTTGATGCAACAGATAAGTTTTTATGATTGCAACCAGACATTAAATGTTGGTTTAATAAGTCAGTGTGTTATTATAAATCATTTATTCTCTTGTCTCAGACAAAATAGATCTTATTGATTTTTTGGTGTGATGCAGAAACATGAAAGAAACACGTATTTTCAGAKATTTTTGATATTTCTGAGAAAAAAWMMTTWAAKKAAAATAACAAAAGCTGTAACTTACTCAGATCTGTCATTTACTCTGGATGTCTTGTCTTACATAATTTCTTTCTTTGCTGTTAGATGATCCGGGTTCTCTTCTTCCCAACGACAGTCAGCCTCCTCTGCTGGTGGTCAATCATCACTCCGCTTACATCTCCACCTCAGGCCAGCCAGCGTCTGGGCGAGATGCCTTGGCTCCAAATCTCACCACAGACGCGACAGATGCTGTGTTTGACTGCCAGGTGCTGGCGTTAGGAGCAAGCAATATAGCTGCGTCCAGCCCCAGGATTGAGATCACTCCGTCGGGGGATTCTTTTAACTCTCGGAATCTGGAGCCGAGCCCCGGCTCCAAAGCTCTAGCCTACAGGGACTGCGTCAGCCCGGCCAGCAGTAACTCGTCCACAGGCTGGCCGGCCGAGGCCTGCTCTCCCCTGACCTCGCCGTGTGTCTCGCCGCCAAACGGAAGCACCTATGGCATCTCCCTGCCGGCGCTGGACCTGTGCCCGGGCCTGCAGGGCATCCACACCTCCTCCGCCCACTCCTCTCCGGGACCCTCGCCTCGCAACAGCGTCACCGACGAGACCTTCCTCCAGCCCCATCACCAGCGCTCCGCCTCGCCGCTTCCCCACCAGCGGTCCCGCTCCGCCTCGCCGCAAGGGAAGCGCTCCTTCGACCCGGGCCACGCCTCTCAGGGGGGCACTCCTGTCAAGCAGCGCTCCCGGAGCCCCAGCCCCATCCCGTCGCCCCACGAGCAGCAGAGGGCCTACTGCCTTAACCAGTACCAGGCTCAGGCTGAGCTTCAGCCCCAAACTCAGGGTCTGGCGGAGATACTGAGCGGCCTCAGCGCCAACCTTTCCAACACGGTCCATCCAGCAGTGATGAGAGGCACGCTGGCTCAGGCTCCGAGGCCCGAGTGTGCATATGGAGATGGGTACGACTGGGCTGTTGGGCACGAYAAGTTGAACAGGTCTGTTCCTGAGCTCAAGTCTGAGACCTTTTACATGGTCCCGTCCGTGTGGCCTGCCGCTCAACCAGTTCATAACATTGAAAGGCCAACATTCAGGTGCTTCGTTTGTCTTACGTCCTCACAACAAGCCGAACTACACAGAAATGACCTGTGTTGCAAGTTGTGCGAAACAGTATTTCACTTCCTTTCTGTCCACCTCTCTCCCTCAGTGGTCTCTCTGTGGCCTCACTTCCCTCCTTGGAGTGGACGTTGCCCAGTCAGTGCGGTCAGTATGAGCTACTGATCCAGCAGCAGCCCAGGTCTCATCACAGAGCCCACTATGAGACCGAAGGCAGCCGAGGAGCTGTCAAGAAACCTAATGGAGGATATCCAGAGGTCCAGGTGTGTCAAATGATATGTAAATATAAAACATGATTCACATAAAAAAGGCAAATGGAGAGCATGAGATTGATGCTGTGGCGATGTAACAACCATGCAAATGAAGCAAGAATGAAAAACCTGGACACTTTCATGTCACAACTCTCTCATTTATAACCCTTAGGTCATCTGTTGTTGTTGTTGTACAAATGAACACCTTAATGTTGGTTTTTATTACAACGCTAAACAAATGCAATATGCAAAACGGGGTTCTTGCTCTGCCGGTTTGACGAGCTGTGAAATCATTACCACAGAGATTTAACATGCCTCCAACATTAGCCTCGCAGAGTAAAAACGTGTGTAAAGAGATGTGTTGCTTTCCATAGCTTCTCGGGTACCAGGGCACGGCTCCGCTGGGGCTGCAGGTCTTCATCGGGACCGCAGACGAGAGGCTCCTGAAACCCCACGCCTTCTACCAGGTCCATCGCATCACCGGCAAGACTGTCACCACACCCAGCTTGGAGAGGGTGATAAATGGGACTAAAGTGTTGGAGATCCCCTTGGAGCCTAAGAACCACATGAGGGTGGTGTGAGTAAAAAAAAAAAAAAAAKCYKAAAKRTTTTTRRWYAAAAAAAAAAAAAAAATCAGCAATGCACAAAAAATGTGCCCACACATTACTGCAGGTTGGTCACCTGTGACCTCATTCTTATTAGGCAAATCTTCAAACACACAACTGCGCTGTTTCTGCATTTCTGCGATGAACAGACATATTAGACTGTCTGGTCCATTCTGCTTTATTTTGATCTATTTAATTGATTTAAAATGCGGTATTTTTAAAAAATTCAACTAGGGCGCCACAGCTGAGAGCTCCCCCAAAGTTTGCAACTTTCTTCGCTCCCAGAAGGCCGCAGTCACTGTTAATGGAAACATAAAGCGCGTCATTTCCTGTGTTTTGGAGAGTTTTTTTTTTTTCCAAGAAATGCCTATCAGACTCTGTGTGTTTACAGCAACAAAGATGTTTGATGAGTCACTTTCAGATGGTAGCAAAGAAGTTCTTTTTTGAGGAGGCAAAACCTTTGATTAAACCAAACTAGGTCAAAAACATCTTTAATATCCCCCAAGAGGTAACTTGTGGTAGCAGAGCAAACTTAACAGAAGGCGCTAAAGTAAAATGAAACCATTAAAAGAGATTATGGGTGATCAGAAATTGTTTTAAAGCAAAATTTGAATTTAAAAAAGGAATCGTTTGGGGCTACTCTTTTCTAATGGATGTCTGCTTTTTCATCGTTGCACAGGATCGACTCCGTTGGAATCTTGAAGCTGAGAAATGCGGACATTGAACTACGGAATGGCGAGACGGACATTGGACGAAAAAACACACGTGTTCGTTTGGTGTTTCGTGTCCACATTCCTGAGCCTGGAGGTCGTCTGGTGTCACTRCAAGTGGCCTCTCATCCAATTGAATGCTGTAAGATATACTCCAATCATAAAAAAAAGTTCACAACTATTTAAACAGAGCCAGTGTCCCTTAATTGGTGCAAAATCTTGTTGAGGCCTACTGCTCCACTGAACAAGCTTTGGTTACTGTAAAGCTACAGTTTAATGAGTCTGCTTTCAAATACTTAAAGGTGCTTTTTATTTGGCTTTACACCACCTCTCAATTAAAGGGATCCATGATTAGTTGTAACATTAGACTTAATTTGATAAACATTTATTTTAACTATAAAATAAAGACTGGAAAAATACTGTAGGCTGTTTAGTTTTTTTTTTTTTAATTTTTAAACTAAAAGTTTAAAATTATATTACATGGACGGGGCCATTTTATTTACATGAAAAGCATTCTGGGTAAATGATGACTTGGATAGGTCATAGGTGCAAGGCTGCTAGCGAGCTATATCCACCCTGAAGGTTAATCTTGGACAATATTGACAATTGGCTTTTTTAAATGAAACCTGAGAGTGTTGACAGAGAAGAAAAGGTAAAAATGACTCAGCCTTCAACTGAAAATATGGATGGAGGACCTCAGATTAGCTTGTTTGTCGCACTAGCGCCGAGCTAATACATATAAGGCAATATGGTGTTGTCGCTAGCGTGAAGGCTAACAGGCTCCAGGCTCCATCCATATTTTCAGTTACAGGCTGAGTCATTTCTACCTTCTCCTCTCTGTCAACGCTCTCTGGTTTCATTTAAAAGAGTCGATCATCAGATATTGTCAAAAATTAACCTTCAGGGTGGATATAGCTCGCTAGCAGCCTTGCACCGAGGACCTATCCACGTCATCATTTACCCAGAATGCTTTGCATATAAATAAAATGGCTTCATCCATGTTAAAATTTATTTTTTTAATTTACAAAACTAAACAGCCTACAGTACTTTTACAGTCTTTATTTTACAGTTAAAATAAATGTTTACCAAATAAAGTCTAATGTTACAACTAATCAGGGATCCCTTTAAGCCTCATATAATCCGAATGAGCAAATTAGCATAATTTTGCAGAAAAGGCACAAACACGTTCCTGTAATTTACCTGCACAAAGGCTTCTTCAGTAGGGACACGAATGCAACAATCCAGCTTCTCTAAAAAAAAAATGTTGCCAGCAGATATTTAGCTTCTCCTTCGTGGTTGCTTGTACAGCTGTGTTTTCATATTTCCACAGCTCAGCGCTCGGCTCAGGAGCTGCCCGCCGTCGAGAGGCAGGACCTGGACCGATGCTCAGTGCTCGGCGGTCAGCAGATGGTCCTCACCGGACAGAATTTCACCTCTAACTCCAAGGTGATATTCTCAGAGAAGACACAAGGTGAGAACTGCTTAAACTTGGGAAGAGTTTCCACTCGGTCAAATCTGTTTAACTCATTAGATCCTAAAGTTGAGCAACATTTGCATTAACTGGTCTAACTTGATATCAAACAACTATCTACACGAATGAAAAGTCCTGCCAATGGAAGATTGCATTTTAAAAAATGTCAGATGGATGTTAAACATAGTTTTGAAAGTCTGTTTTATTCATCAGTTCCCAACATTATAGTCAAATTTATCATGCTTACACTTTTTGTCCACACTGATGTCATGATTAGATGTGAGTGGATTTCATAGATTAACTGGGTTTAAATTCAAAATGACTGTTTGATCAACTATTTAAGTATTTTAAATGTAAATGCTTTAAAGACTATAACGTCTTTTTTGTTTCTGTTTTCTGCTAAGCTGTGATTTTTGTGAAACTAAATTTAGATTTCAAGCTGTTGCTGTGGTTTAAACAGGCTAATAATAATTTGCGGCCTTCCAGTTTCTTGCTGGAAGTTGCCCACCAAACACCTTTTGTAGTTTTTATTTTTAGATTATTTGCATATCACCTGGGGAACATCAACTAGGTGACGCACATCTTCCTGCTGCCCACACTTTCAGCTTCAGCAAAACAAACCACATTTGAACTAATACAATTCTTTTTTTTTTTTTTTTTTTTTGCTGGAAGTGACAACTTTTATTTATTTCTAAATGGAAATTTCTCACCTCGTTGGGGTTCTTTCAGCCCACACAAAACTGTTGGGTTAGTTAGCTTGAGAACTGGATGGGTAGCTTTAGCTAGTATAGCTTGTTGAGCCTCTCTTGTTGCTCGGCGTGGGGTTATGTGCAGCAGGATGTGGTTAGACAGACTGATAAAGATTCAAACCTAAAGCAGCAACTTTTTTTTATTCATTGCGTGGGCTGAACAGAGCAGCGGCAGGTGAAAACTGAGACGGGCGTGTAAAACTAAAACAGACATAAAAGACAACTGTTTTCCACTGTCTGTGAACAACAATTCACATAATGTAGAACGTAACTGATTGCTTAGAAAGKCACATTTTCTTACTCAAAAGACGCTCTTAAGATATTTTTTGAAGGAATGTAACATACAGTTATCTGTTTGCCTAATTTGACTTAAAGACAGTAAAAAGGTAAAGAAAAAAAAGGCGGGAAGAAATTAAATGGTTTGCCGCATGATGACCACATTATGTTTCTAAGTAAGAAGATTGGCATTAACACGTTGTTGACATTTTTGATTTTTCTTTTATTTTTGTAAGCTTTTATTCATTCTAGATACTAAATGCTCTCCATAACAGCATCTTTTTTTGTATATCTTTGGGAATGTAATTGTTATGTACAGAATTAAAAAAAGCAAATGAAATAGTTTTGCTTTTTAAAGAGCTTTTATAATTATTGTCCTGATGCATCTCAGTAATCCAGGTAAAAAATCAAAAAGAAAAAAAATTGTATAGGTCTTCTGGACGGGTTCTTCTCTAATGAAACGTTTCGTCTCTCCTCCAAGAGACTTCTTCAGTCTGAGAGTTTCAGGCAAAATTCAGGCTTTTGAGTCCTGCCTCCAAGTGACTGATACTCACATCACATGGCTATCGTTYACACCTAATTAACACTTATTGTTATCAGGGGGTGGAGTGATACTGGCAATAGCCGCGCTGTAGGAGGGGGACAACTGAAAACGGAGGGCTCCACCTCTGTTTAATGATGGACGGTCTTTCTTCACAAAAATGGCTTCTTTTACTCCTCTCTCAAACCAACGTTCCTCTATCAAGAATGAGAACATCCTCATCTCTGAAAGAGTGATCACTGGCCTGTAAATGAGTGAAAACTGCAGAGTTCTGGCCATTAGAAGTAGCCCATCTGTGTTGAGACATTCTTTTGAACAGTGGCTGCTTTGTTTCTCCGATGTATAACTGGTCGCAGTCCTCCTGGCACTTAACAGCATATACAATATTGTTCTGTTTGTGCTGGGGCACCAGATCTTTGGGGTGAACCAGCCTTTGTCATAATGTGTTTTGGGGTTTGAAAGCTACTGGGACATCATGTTTAGAAAATAAACATCTCAGTTTCTCCGAAACACCCGCAACATACGGAATAACCACTGGTTTGGGTCTGGGTTTGGGGTCTTCATTTTCACCTGAAGGCTGCATGGAATCCTGTCTGTGTTTCCTGTCTGCTTTCAGGAAGAAAGACCGTCCATCATTAAACAGAGGTGGAGGCCTCCGTTTTCAGTTGTCCCCCTCCTACAGTGCTGCTATTGCCAGTATCACTCCACCCCCTGTTAACAATAGGTGTTAATTAGGTGTCAACGATAGCCATGTGATGTGAGTATCAGTCACATGGAGGCAGGGCTTAAAAGCCTGAATTTTGCCTGAAACTCTCAGACTGAAGAAGTCTCTTGGAGGAGAGACGAAACGTTTCATTAGAGAAGAACCCGTCCAGAAAATACATTTTTTTTCTTTTTGTTTTTTTTTTCATTATTTTTTTATGTATTTTTTTTACTTCCACCAATAATGTTTCACTCTGCTTTTAGATGGTCAGCAAATCTGGGAGGTTGAGGCCACTGTGGACAGAGACAAAACCCAAGCTGTAAGTCATAATGACTTGTGTAAACAGTTTAAACTCCAACCACCATTCTCTTTTTTTATTTGCTGGCAAGTCATTTAAATGTAATCCGATTTTTATTATGAAATGAACAAATAGTCTATTTTTTTAAATTATGTGCTTCTAGAACATGCTGTTTGTTGAAGTCCCTCCTTATCGAGACCGAACTATTTGCCAACCAGCTAAAGTCAACTTCTACGTCATCAATGGGAAGAAGAAACGCAGCCAGCCTCAGCATTTTATCTACACTCCTGTGATAGGTGTGTATCTGTTAGCATTACTGTGAAAACAACTGTACGTGAAAGACTTGGTCAACCTTAGCTAATCTAAGGTCACACAGAGGCTCGTTGAAGTTGTCACAGCTTTGCACGCAGGAGTTTATATCACATTTCCAACATTAAATAAAAGAAAACGTGCAAAGCTAAAAACGTTGCAACAGTTCAGAGCAATTATATCCGCTTGCACGTTTCAACCCCAAATTAGATTAATGCATCTTACATCTACAAGCTTCCTGCATTTTGCTGCTGTGATAAACTTGTCCACATTCTAATCAGTGTGCTGTTGTTAGCAGCAAACAGCAGCCATAGCACAAGTTTCGTTTTGAGAGCAAGTATCCTGTGACTTTTCTCTCTTTATGGGTGAAAAAGCAAGTATTGGTTTTACTAATGTTCTCAACATCCACGTGTAGTAGTCACATCCAAAATACCTTCACATGGAGGCACATTCTTTAAAGTGCCTGTGACATCAATTTTTTGAAATAAATAAGAACGTATTTTTGGAAAGATGACATTGATAACATGTTGTAAAAAAAGATTTCACGCCGCTGAGATGAACAGTTGTAGAGATATTTGTATGTGAAGTAACAGGAAGTGATGTCAAAGGGGATTGTCTGCATGTGAACAGAGCATTGCTAAAATGGATAACAGCACACATTGTAGAGAAGAATCTGATGTTTCTTTAGATTATTTTAATCACTATCACAGAGAGATGAGAGAGTCGTAGTTCAAATAATATTGTTTTAATAAACAAAAAACCAGGAAGTTTTCTTTCTCAAAGATGTTCCCCTTTGATGTCACTTCCTGTTTAATTTTAGCTGATTCAAAAGAAAATATGCCAATTATGTGACATAAAGGGTAAAATCATGTGGACAACGCCAAGTTTCTTCAATATAAATATATTTACTTTGACTTTTTGTATTTCATGGATATGCGTGTCACAGGCACTTTAAGGATCACACTAAACAAGACATGTTAAGGCAGCGCTATTCAACGAAATCGCTCTGGTAGCTGGGGTTATTTTGTTGTATTGAAACATAAATTTTAAATTTAAAACTTTTTTGAAATCTGTTTTTATACTAAACAAAAAAAATGTTAAGAGAAAAAACAATTTAAAAAAATTCATTGGCTGGCCGGATGGAAGTGACCCACAGGCCGGATGTGACCCACGGGCCGCCAGTTGAATACCCTTTGTCAAGAGTTTGTATCTGTCAGACAGCCAGATTAAAGAAAACTGGGTTATTTCACATGCTGTACACATTTTTTCCAATGACAAAAAGCCAACATGGGTATTTTACGTTAACCACTTGTTAAATTGTCATTTTCAGACAAGCAAATTAGGATAAAAAATTTTTTGCAAGTCATGCTAGTGTTTGAAGGCATATTGCCGGTATAAACAAGATATAAGGACATGTTTTTCATTTGCTGTTAGTAAATAATGAGTAAAGTTACTATGAAACGTATTTAGATGTAGTGACTAAAACCATTGTGAGATAACCWTCTATGTTTGCAGAATACTTGGTCATCAGGTGGCCGTTCAAGCAACCACGACTTTTACATTTTACTACAGCTTTTGTCAACACTGACTTTAGTTTTCCCTTGGATGGTGCATTATGCAAACATGTGCAAAGCCCAGTGTGGTTAATGTGTTATATAATCTCTTAGTCATGTCAGCACTTTGATTATAGCAATATGTTGTTTTCACTGTTTCTGGAGTGCTCAAAAATGATTTTTCTTTTCCTTCAGCCATTAAAGCGGAGCCCGTGGATGTCTATCAGCTGAATCCGTATGCCTGCTCAGATAATCAGTACCTGTCTGGCATGTCCATGAAGTCCCTCTGCCATCAGCTCGAGCAGGAGATCAACCCTCAAGCACTGAATGRTTCACCAACAATGTACCATCTAACTGCCGCAGACCCCCGAGGCCACATGTTCACCCCCGAATCTTTCGACGAGCCGGCCTATTACCAGTCCAGACCCGGAGCTCTGATCAACAGCTCGATGATGTACCACACGGCGAACCATATTTACAGCAACTCCAGCGCCGCCCTGCTGTCCCATTCTGCCCCCACTCCCTGCCAGTGTGTCAGCGCCAAGACCCTCGTAGCCAAACTGGGTGACGGCCCGCAGGCCGACGATTCTTTTGAGGCATGTTTGATGTCGAGGCATCAGGCGTTTGTGCAGAAGTCACTGCCTCTGGGAAGGTCGCCGCCTTCGAGATACATCCAGGTGAAGACAGGAAGTCAGATGGAGCCAAGTGGGCAGCCTCTTCCTCAGATGGGATCTGTTAAAGGAAACCACGAGGATAAAGCTCCAGAGGGGATAACAGTCAAGCAAGAGAACCTCAGCTACACCTACCTGGAGGATGGTGAGTTTTAAGCAGTTCTTTCAGTTGCTGTATATCACATCTCCCTTCCTCACTCTCTGTTTAATGCCTGCTGAACTCATTTAAATAAGCCCCAGTTTTTTTTTTCTTTTATTTGTTTTATAAACAAATGCCTGTCAAAGCGTGGCAGTTAGAGCTGTAGCCTCACAGCAAATGGGCATATCATGTCACCAATCTGACAATAAGTTTAGAGCTTTCATTCTCATGCCAATGCTGCCTTTAAAACATTTTTTAGTTCATCTATTTTTTTGTTTCAATCACTCCAAATAAATATATATAAGACAGACAAAGATGTCATTATTGCTAAAGAGTCGATACACTTGGGGAGTCTTATTATGCATGCTAACAGTGGTTCTATCAGCAGAAACTTGTTCAGTGGATTTGTAACTTAGTCATAGAGGTTACTGTTAAAGAAAAAAGGGAGAAAGCACATTATTAAAAAAAAAGACAATAAAAAAATGCATCTCTAAAAAGATTMAAATGTTTGGGGGATGGGTGTTTGTGGTCCAGTCTGCAGTGCAGGTTGCAACTGTATGCTTGCAAATCCTGCCTTGTGGTTTTCTGGCGGGCCTTTCTATCCACTTCCCTATCTGTTTCGGTCTCACTCTCACTCTTTCACACACACACACACACACTTTCTGAAGCGTCATGAGTACAACCAGTGCTCTCAAAAGTAAATTTAATACAATTTGCCTGAAAAAAATTTTTGACAAGAAATCTGCAACACTACCATGAAGTGAGAAAAGAAATGGTTCTCTCTTTTCGCTGCGAGAGAAAGTTTCTGTTTACGACTCTGTGATGGGGGAAAGAAACAGGAAYTAAACTTGATAAGCAAATATATGCAGATACACATGTAGTTTAAAACAATTCTTTGTTCTGGTCTTGTAAAAAGCATAGTAAAGGTATAAAAAATACTGATGAGTATTAGAAACAAGCAAAGGTAACTACAGTGTAGTACTGTACCTGACTGTGAAATGTATTGGTTGAAATTCTTTGACAGTGTTTCAAACGATGACAAATTTATTTTACTTTGAAAAAACTTCATAGAAAAACTTTATAATTGGTCATCTTGAAACAATGTGAATGTTTTTGAGTACCCATTTTTTATTTTTATTTTTTAAATTTTTTGGTGGGATTTCTGCTTAAACTGGATCATTTTGATGGATTGAAGGGCAGGTTCTGGTCACAGAGGTCATAAAGACAAAACCACAAACCTCAACATATCGTGTGCAGATCTAATGTTGGACCTTTGTTACATTTCCCTCCTTTCTCCTGTCATTTCCTGTCATGTCTGTAACTTTCAACCTTCAAATAGAATCATGCCTTGACTTTGGCGAGCCCTGCTGGTTATATCAAGTAAATAGTTTAAGGATAAAAACAATATCATGCCAGATTTCCCTTTATTTCATAGTTTGATCTAATTATATTTGTATGTAAAATGTTACACAAGGAAACTGTGAAATAATTGATACAAGAAAATTAAATATATAAACATTTATTTATTTAGTTTGTGAAATTTTTTTCTTTTTTTTTTTTGCTTAATTAAGAGTTTTGAACAGATAATTTTTTTCCCCAATGTCTTTCAGTGAATGACATCATAAGAAGGGACATGAAAGGCCACAGCGGAAACTGATTCTGCAGCAGTGCTGAAGACCAACACTTTCAGATTTTAAGCAGAGTTTAATCTGAAAACAGGAATAATAATGGCTGACATTAAAGGCAAACATTTAGTCGTTGCTTTATTATGGACTTATATTCACTTTATTTCAAGCAATCGTGTTTCTGTTGAACAGTAGGATGGTCAACTAAAACTGACTTAATGTGTCATTTTAAATAATAATTCAAAAATGTGTCAGCTTTTCAAATGGCTTTAAATAAAGTCAAGCTTTATATGCAAAGATACTGTAATTTGTTTTATCCTATTTTCTATATTTTATGTTTTTATATTTTGGGTTTTTTGTTTATATATAATTGTACAATGGCTAKTATAAACATGTAGAAAATATTTTTTATCAAAGAAATTCTGTTTATATTATTCTGAGTGTGAGCTGTGAGTATGTAAAGTTGGACTGAAGAGGAAATCATTTATTTAACACAGTTTTGCAGATAATCTGCACTGGCTTTAAACTCAGTACACACCAGCSTCACACCAACACATCATCAGTTACTGTGGAGCAACACCCAGAGCTCAGCACTAAGCTCGGTCCTAACGTTGGACTCTACAGAATCTGCACTTACGATGGAGCTCACTTTCCCTGGGATTAATTATCAGATGAACCGTGATCTGATGACCAAGTTCAGTTTAACATTTGGTCCACAACATTTTTATTATTATTGAAAACTGTGTTTCAATATACTTTTCTTTATTAAGGTATTTTTTAAATAAATTTAATTTTTACAACAATTGTCTGTAATAAAAATTTTTGAAGTACACAATGGTATTCTTTCTCTGTTGGTCCTTATTATAATTTTAAATAACATTACATTTGGTAGTTAGGCTTTGCAATTTGTTGCATTCGTTCTATTAGAGCAGAGGTGGCCAAAGTGGGGCTTGTGGGCCAAAATTGGCCCGCCAAGACATTTGATTTGGCCCGCCAGCAGTTGTCCTGGCTACTAGGTTGTATTCTCCTGTTTTATGTCGAAACACTATATTTCCACTTAATCCTTCAAACCACTGGTCCCAATTAAGGGCTGTAGTGCAGAAAGTCTTAACTCATGGCACTTACTTTATCTTTATATTAAAATTAAACATAAAATACAAGTAACTAGACATTTAGATTCAATTTAAGCATACACCTAGATTTGCACATTTAATAAGATCACAAATAGGCTTACTCAAATTTTACTTTATGAAAAGTCCCATGAGCTTTTGCTGCTCAACTGTACGTCAGATTTTCTGCACATCCAATGATTAGCAAAAATAAATAAATACAAATAAAAAATGTGGGCCACCACACTGGCTGCGAGCTTAATCATAAACAAAACAAATTTGCTAAAAAAAATTGCTTTTCATGTATTATATTATTGCATTTGGCCTGCAGCCCTCAGATTTATTTTCATGTTGGCCCCCTCAGGGAAAATATTTGAGCACCCCTGTATAAGAGAGATATAAGAAGAAAAACACGATTTCATTACAAAAATGGTTACATTTAAAATGACCACTAGGGGGCGGCATTTTTAAACTATCTTCTACTGGAGCGGAAGTAGGTGAGACGTCTATGGCGTTACTTCCGGTATTTTTTTTTTCGTTCCCCGTTTGTAAACTAGCTACACAAGTTTACACCCTTTGTTTGTGTTTTGCTATCACTCCTGTTGTTTTGTTTGAATTTGGTTTTAACTTTCGAGTGAAGACGACGGAAGTTCCTCCTCCTCAGCTGGTGAGCTTTTTAATGAATGGATTTAGAGCTGAAACGTTCAGTTCATTAGATCTGCCCTGTGGCTACAAATGACGAACCCCATAAAAGTCGCTTTTTGTGTACGTAGCATGCGTAGTTATAAATATGKGCTGTTTTGTGCATCAGGATAATCAAAAATAAGAATGGGTCCTTCGTTTCTTTAGATATGTTGTGTTAATTGTAATGGTGCTTTTGCACAGAAATAAATCCAAAGCGGCAGCATCATGTCTGCAGAGCTGGATCTGTCCCCCCCTGAAGTCCCCGAGCCGACCCTCCTGGAAAGCATACTGAAATACGGCTTGTTTCTTGGGGCCATTTTCCAGCTTATCTGCATCCTGGCTATCATCTTCCCCACATCTAAGAACCACGATCAGGTAGGTCAAAAACAGTACAAAACTAGACATGGGTTTTTACGATGTAAAAACAAGTGTGCATTGCCATGTAGCACATTGCAGCATGCCTTTGCCTGCAGCAGTGGACTTGCAGAATAAACTTTGACCAAGTGCAAATGTGTTTTCTACACCAGCTTGTGCTTGTCGAGTCAGCAGGTGTTTGTAATAAGGGTAATTGTGTGACAATATAAAGTTTGTAGAGYTTTTCTGTTAAAGTTGCTTTAGCTGGGTTTTGAACCCTGTTCTCCCACATGAAAGTCCATGGCATTGAGGATTAGACCACTGGAGCTGTGGCCAAGGGTGGTGCCAGGGGTTGYTTTGTATGTGTGCAGAAAGAGGCCACATTGCCAATACAATTATTGACACTGAACTGCATAATATTACAGCAATAGAGCAGTATTAAGACAACATTATAGTAAAACATCAAAATACAACCATTAGTATTGTAACCACTGAACTATTGAGATCAAATATTATTAAACTATGGTTCAGTACTGAGTAGATAAAGCAGGGGGCAGCATTGGACCAATACAAGGCTCTATTGACTCCCATTATAAATTATTAAACATTAATATTTCAAAAATTATAAGTTGTACAGGCACCAAAAGGCATAGCCATCATTTGGCACAGGAGCTTTACAGATATAAATTACAATGGCAGCTCTAGGACAAAGTATGCAGGAGGAGAAGCGTGCCAAAGTGGAGATAACTTGGATGGGAAACGAATCACAATAGTGTGCATTGGCAATGCACACTGAATATACACTCCCTGTCGTCACACCTAGCCAAATGTTTGTGGCAAWAAAATCACATATTTAACTATTTTAGTTAACTTATCTCAACCTACCCAAGCAAAATTATCCTGACCACTTGATGGTTTTCCTGTTTACTGAGGAAAAAAGTCAGATAAATCCTCAAAAAAAAAAAAAAACACACCTTTTTCTGTGCTTTTATTAAGCCAAACCATAAAATACAGTGTATAATATATGTAATTAAGTAGATTCATCTAATTTTGAATAATCACGCCTACAGTTTCCTCAGGCTAAGAACACACGTTATCAGTTTAAGCCATCAAAACATCTGACGCATGACTGAAAAAGAATCAAGAAACACGAAGCAGTTTACGTTTCTGTCAGCCGAGTGCTCGTCGATAGCAATTACAAGCTCGAAGAAAATGTCAGGTTGTTTTTAAAATGTCTAAGACGTTTTTATGATGTGGCTTTGATTGATGAACAATTTTTTTTCCTTGCAATATGAGGTTGGGTTGTATGTCATTCAGATATCTTTCTGGAAAACCGCCAGAGGAAAACACCCAGAAGGCAGTCTAATCAGATGCCTTAACTTCTTCYTCTGGTTCTTACAAATCATGAATGAGTAAAAACTTTTCTCCGCACACTCTTTATATTTTTCTGTAAGAGATCAGTCAAATTTGTTGTCAGCATTTTTTGATGAATTGCCTTGAACTACTGGTTAACTTGTTTTCGTTGTGATACTATAGTAATGATGTCTGTTAATTACCACAAATAAGAGTTCATCATTTTTGAGCTTACATTAATATCTATTAGATGAAGTTATGTCAAATAACATGTCGTTCAGCAGACGTGTTCTCGTCAACAGTTCTCATGTGTTTGTAGTTTGCATTGATTTATTTCCACGCTACAGTTCAATAAACTGCATATAAGTGGGAGAACGTTTAATGTTTTTGACGTTTGGTTCACAGGAGGAGAAGGAGACCACCGACAGCAAGACCGCCGAACCGATGAAGAAATCAAAAGCAGCAGCGCCTCAGAATCGTCAGAAACAAAAGAAAGAGAGCAAGAAGAAGCGATAGATGGCTCTTTTTGCATCGTGTTTGCTGCCTTGTTGTGAGAACGAGTGTGTTTCATCATTAAGACGTTTTATTTACAAGTTAAAAAAAAACACTTACAGCACTACATTTGTCAAACATCATTGTGAACCTCAGCTGTGTTCTGCTAACACTCAGCACATTCATACAGACAAGAATGAAGCAACATATTTGACTGACTGGATTTTCGTTGTTAATTCAAATGTTTGTTTTTCAACAGCAAATTAAAATGTCATCTTAGCAGACTATTTATTACAAAAGATGTGCTTGTTCATAGAGTCAGAATTCATTTAGTCTCATTTTCAAAGCCAGTATTCTTGCAGATAATTTTTGTTTGTTTATTTTGCTAAAAACAACATTTCTGATGTAGAATATGAGTTTTACAGTTTCTTGAAGGTGTTGGAAGTGATTTCTTTTTTATTCGAGGAGTAGTTAACTGTTAGCTTTCATTTGCACGTTATTTTAATATTAAATGTACCATACTTTTATACGTAAATTGATTTGATGCTCTTCTGTATTAAAATGTAAGCTGGGACTTTGTGTTGAAAGTTTCTCTTTGTTTGCAGACTGTTTTTGGCAGAGCTCCGTTTTATTTTATGTATGATAAAACAGTTTCCTTATATTCCTTATAAATAAATCTAGACATAAGAAGAAAAAAATCATATAATTTATTGCTATGTTTGTGTACAAATTGGTTCTTTTGGGTTTAGTTTCAATTTTACACAGATTTAATGAACTGAAAACATCCGGGACGTTTTGACGTGAAGCGTAGCTTTTTACGCTAACTCCGTTCTCGGTGAAAGCGAGAATTTCAGCTAAACTTGCGTGTCTTATTGCGTTACGTTTAAATATGTATTTTTAAAGTGTATATTATAGAATCTAAAGGTGTAAAAAGTATTTATAGGTGCCTATAATTAGCTACTCGTTGATGTTATTTACGGAATGGAGTTGCGCAGTTTGTCGTGAATCCTCCTGGCGGTGTTGCGTCGTAAAGACCGTACGTAAATCGTGTCATCCCCCTTTTTTTCCTCTCTTCGTCAGTGATGCACTCTCTAGTGGCTTTCCCACTACGAGGCTCGTCTTGTCGCTGCCTGCTCTGTCCAGCTGAGCAATCAGCGTCTTTTATTTATTTATTTATTTTTTTTTTTGGACGTCCCACCGCAGCGCGCGCTCCACCAGCAGCTGTCCCCCCCATCATGACCCCCTCCTCCTCCTCCCGTGATTCTGCTGAAATTCTCTAAATGGGATGCGTGCGTGGCCGGCCCGAGGTTTCCACAGCAACTGGCCGTCGGCTTGCTTTATGAGGACAGCCTGACGCGTCTGACCGGGTTCCTCTCTGCGCGCCTCGGATCTTTGAGCTGAAGCACAAGACGCGTCAAAGGTGAGTTTATTACAGCTTGTTTTTATTTATTATTATTATTAGTGTAACCATTCCCTGGAGGGAGTCAACAATCACATATTTACGCAGCTCATTGTAGCATATGAGCTATAATGCCCCRCTCTCACACAGAGAGACTTTCATTGTTGCTCAGACCATCCAGGGTCCAACAGAACACCGGTGCCGTTCAGTCTGTGCCYGGCTTCGGTTCTTCACGGTTTACTACACCTCCTCCCCCATAAAATGCCGAACGTTTGTTCAGATGCCCACATCCGCGGCTTCGCCACGACTGCAGGTGCTCGGAGAGGACCCGGGGAAGCGACTTGGCGCAGAAAACGAAGCCAACAAGCCGTCGAAATCCAAAATGGAGCTGGAGCAGCACCTGTTTTGATTCATCAGATCAGGCCACGAACCGAAGAGCTGCTGTCACTGGAGCGCTTTTTTCTTTTTTCTTTTTTTAATCCATTCACAAATCCACTACCTGTCATGGATTAGTCTGGTATACATTGATTCTTATTTATTTAAATTATTATTATTTTTTCCTCCCAGCAAACGTTTGGTTTGACAGCTGCTACTCCCGAAGGCAGCCACCCCACCCCGGGTTTCTTTGAAAGCAGCTTTGCTGACAACTGGTGTTCAATCCCGTGGAAATAGAATTTTAATTATGTGCCTAATTTGTTTACACTTACCCCCCTTTTTGACTTTTTAGTTCCAGTTAATTTCCGGAGGAAAAATGGTTTCAGGTTTCTTCTGAATACTAGTCCTTAGATTCAATATATTGGATTTTAACACTGAACTGAACCCACTTTATGAGCTGTCAATGTGAATGTGTGACAAACGCGTTCAAAATATTGCAATGATTATTTAAAACTTGTTTTCTAAACCGAGAAGGTTCAGGAAATGAGTCAAAATACGCCATGCTGTTTCAGATGGGTCAATATAAATGACGTTTATTGTCTCCCAAGGAATTTTTTTCTGCATTTTTTTCATTGTTTAGTAATCAGTCAGCTGTTGTCTCAGTTGGTCACGTGATCATCAGATACTGGAAACGCCCTGTACGTATTTACAAAGTTTAAAATAAATGTTTAAAGTAGCAAATCAAACATAAAGAAGGTTATCTTGAATTAAGTGGTGCAGTCTGAAAGGTTTTAGTGGTTTCTCCAGATGCATCCATGTTGCCAGATATGCAATAATTATAGTTTTAGGGTTTATATAATAGATTTTAGCCCAAGTATGCAATTCTTTTTGTCATTTTTTTGTTTACCCCCAACAAAGCCTCTGTTTTTAGTCACATGAACACCAGCCCCACTTCTTCCTGTGCGCACGTCCTCCAAATTGCACCACCTCATTAACTCACCTGCCCGCATTACCCCTTTGTCAGAGAACACGCACCCCCCACTCATCACAACATAGTTGGGTCAAAATATGATGACTTTAAAGCAGGAATATATTTAGTCATTTCCTATCTGGCAATCCTGAGAATTACTGAAATGCGGGCCCACGCTTAATGTAAACAAGTCACTCGGCCGAATCCACCGCATGGACGTTTGTCACAGCTTGTGATCGGGAGGTCGCAGGTTTGAATTCCCCCAGGGTTTGAAAGATGAAGCACCCACATTGGCTTTCACCCCCGTTTCCCCCTTTGTGGGCCCTTGAGCAAGGCCTTAACCCACCAGCTGCTCCACGAGTGTTTTTAAGTAAGCAAACACAAAAGGTAGTTGTCATTTGATAACTTTTTAATACCAACACATTAACTATGATGTAAGAAAAACACCGTTTGGATTTTGTTTATTACGTAATGAAATGTTTTTTGGACCGACCTTAATGACTTTGTACTGAGTACCTTGAATTATTTATTTATTTGTGTACTAACAGTCATTCTGGTTTTAATACCTAAATGTTCCAATAATTGTCAAACGGGCTGCTTTTCTCTCTCATAATAGAAAGTCTTAAGACATGACGAGAGTTAATTAAACCACCTTTTTATTATTGAGGACATCCCAACCGCAGCTCATGAATGTTGGGTTTATTGAGGATTTTATATGTAAATTATTTGCAGCAGATGACACGAAACGGCCATCATGTTCTGTAAAATTAATCATGCCGGAGCAGCCGTTCCTCATGGCCTGGATCACCGGCTGCCAGAGCCTTCAGTCATAGATGAGCGGAAGTGTTTTTTTTTTTTTTTATCAGCTGAGTGCTTCAGTCCTTCCCTCTTCCTCCTTCACGTTATCCTCTTGTCTTTCCTGTGTGTGTTTTGTCAGCAGAAAGATGAGCGGGCTAAATGCACCCCGGCTCGCAGCCTCCAAACCATGTTGGGTCAATAACAAAAAGSTTTAGAAGGAAAAGACGAATCAGATGTGATTCTGCTGTCATTTAGGCTGAAATTGGATTAGACTTGATGGGCGTGTTAATGGGTTTTCCTTTTTTTCTTTTTTTTTTTGTTCTCAGCCAGGCTATAAATGTATTGTTTAATGTGTTGTATGTGAAAAGCATCATGTCGTTGCGTATCCTAAAGTAGCATAGGACAGAGATCCTAATGTACACATTTCCTCTTGTTTTGATCTTCGGGAACCATCATTTACCCCTCCCCACCCCCCACCCTTCTTCCTTGCCTCCATTCCCAGAGGGCAGACAGTAATTTCCCCATTGAGCTGAAKCATTTGCTGGAGCTCCTGTCTCTGCAGCACAGTGGCAACTGGTGCCGTCTGCTGTGACTTAGTGAGGTTTGTCAGGACCAAATGTGCAGATTGTTGGACGAGACGTGTTTTTTGTTTTTGTAACTTATGGAAAGCCTTTACCAAATATAAGATGTACTTACAGTTCTAGTGTTTGGAGGTTTGTTGGTGGAAATGCAACAAAATGCTGCTTTCATTAGTGGAGAATGAGATGATGCTCAGATGAGATGTTTCTCAACTGTTTGTCCTTTACTGGAAAGAAAAAAAAGAAAGAAAACGGGGAGTTATATGTAGAGAGAAAATTAAACTGACTTCACAAATTTATATTTTTTTACTTTTGTAATTAAAGCTTTTGTTAAAAATGGCATCTCTGAACTAATTTGTGTTGCCTGCATTTTCACTCCTCGTATTTCTTCCAAGTCTTTTTTTTTTTTTTTTTTTTTTGTGAGAGTAAAACTCTTTTTGCCAAACTGAGGAAATTATTATTTTTTAAACTTTACCACCTCCATAAAAAATGCTAGTGGAAAGCTATTTAATGACTTAAGGGAGCAAATATGTTTTCTGAAACCACACACTTTGGAGGGGAAGGTGCATTGTGGGTATTCCGTTMGTTGTAATCTGTACTTTCTGTCCGGATGCCACTAAATTATATGCTTTACTTGCATGAAGCACTTAGAAAAAGAACCATTTACCTCTTTCTATATGTTCCTCTTTAGTCTTTATTATAATGTGAAAATGTTAAACAGCTTCAGGAAATCTATTCTGTGATTATTTGAAAGAAATTCAATGAAATGAGCAGCAGGACTTTGACAGGAGCTTCATTTAGGGTTTAAAGGAAATATCAGGATACATTTAATTTGTGTTTTGCTMCTCAAGTCACTTCTTGTGTCTAGATTTGTTCCTGCAGTCACCCTGAACTCATAGAAAGATTCCTGTTTTATTAAAGACTGCTGAAGATTTGTAAGTAATTTCAGTTCTTTCAGTGTTTTTCTCTAATTTTTTTAAGCTGTTAACAAAACAGCAGGACTTTAGAGMGAATCTTTATCTTTGATTTAGACTAAAACTAGTTGCAAAAATGATAAAAAGGAACTGAAACAAGGTAAACTGACTATTAGAGATTAAAGTCTAAGCTTTCACTTTGTTGTTTTTCCTAATAGCTCACAGTTTTGTTCTCATTTAAACTTCACAGAGACCTTTTTTGAAGGGAAAGTCACCTCCCAAAACTTATTTTTATATTTGGAGACACTGTTTGAAATAAAACTTGAATCTGCTGCAGTCTTACGTTGAAAACTATAAATATCTGCAGGAAGTGCATGACCATCACTTTAGGGAACTGACCTGCTGTTTTCAACTGGGACCATATTAGGAAAAGAGGAAGCGTTATTGGGATTTTTAAATTTTTTTACTGAATACATTTAAATGTTTTTAATCAGCTCAGAAAAAACTCCAATAAAGTCAGTTCTCCACACATGGAGATACTGACTTGACGTCTTTGTGCACCTTCTGTGCTTTATGTGTTGCTACTTGTTCGCCCTTTTTTTTTAAGCCTGCATTCCTTTCAGGGATCCGGGCTCTGCTCTTTTACTTTCTTCACCACATTATTTCTCTTCTTCACACTCGGTATTCAGCTCGTGCACAGAAGTGGGTCATAAAGTTCGTCGGGCCCCGTGAGCTTTGAGACGGTTGAGGAAGGCGCGGGGCATTGATAAATAGTTGAGGGCCATTGAACTCTGCTGGAGTTCTGAGGTACAGTTTGCCACAAACGAACTGATCGTATTTGACTTGAAAGAAATAAAATTAAAGTGGAGATATGACATTCAGGGGGTTGGTTAATTTGCATGCAGGAAGTAGGATTGTGTTAAGTGTGCTGTAGCTGTATTGTCCGTCACAAGATGGAAGAGGAAAGGATCGAGGCAACCAAAGCAACAGGAGTTTGTGTTGTAAAGAGGTTTTATATTGTATCCACCTTTTGTTACCGTGCACACACACACCATGCTCCTTTTTCATCTCCCTCCTTGCTTCCTTCCTCCCGTCCSGCCCTCCTGCTGCTCAGGTGCCTGTTCTTCTAGCAGTCGAATCTGTGTGATGCAATCTGTTTTCCCTTTATTCCTCTGTACTCCTGTTTTGTCCTTTTAATTATTGTGTTTTTCCATCCTATTTGTTTTCAATAAGRAACTCCACATGGTGTCATGTTTTGTTTTTGTTTTGTTATGCTGCTGCTTGCATTTTTTACTTGATTACTTTTTTCAGTGCCAAATCACCATCGCTCACACTTGCAGTGATTGTTTAATTGGATTTCAATTGAAATATAATAACCTATGATGGGGAAAAAACATATGTGACCCATCACACTGAAAATTAAGTCCCAAAGTGGTCTGTGGAGAAAAAGGGGTAACACTTTCTTTTACGGTACCCTTATTACCATGTAATTATGTGGTAATTAAGGTACAATTTTACTGTGTAATTAATTGTCTGCAGTAATGTAGCACTTACCTGGTAATGTATTACAATTCACTATGTAACACCTAAATAAGTAGTAGGGAATTTGMACAATTTTAAAGTTATATTTTYTTGCAATTAACCACTAACCCCAAAATTTAGTTGCATTATTTTGGTTATAAATATAGTAATGTTACTATTGAATAGTAATTTGATTGTAGTTACCCAATAAAGGTAGTTTTACTAACAGTAGTTTTTCTTTTGTACCGTAATTACCACATAATTACATGGTAATAAGGTAATAATTACATTTAATTACTTTATTATTACCTTGTAATAACATAGTCATAAGGGTACAGTAAAAGAAAGCGTTACCGAAAAAGGCAGTGTTTTGGATAAAGCATGCAATAATTGCATTTTGTCAAAATATAATAAATAAATGCATTATCAATGCCTTGTTTCAATGAACTGTCTGAAATATAATCTTTTTTTTTTTTTGTAGCTGTTTTAAGCAGTAGCTGCTAGGGGTGCACCAAAAAAATATTCACATCAGAATCGTGATTCTCATTTAAAATGATTCTGGATCATTTTAAGATGTCCCAAAATAGATGTAAAAAAAAAAAAAGGAGAAAAATACAGCAAATTCAATTTGCAAATACGTCACCACGTAGCCAGTTCTGGAACGTATGCATGCYCAGAAAGCACCAAAACAAAGAGGAAACACAGAAATGGAGGAAAGAGATATTTAACCAGCTCCATCTTCATTGAGGGCAAAYATTTGGTCTCYTTTTGGTTTTTCATCATGGCCCCAAAAATCAGAATRGAATCAAATTGAATCYTGAGATTTTAAAAYATTCCTAACCCTAGTAGCTACAWAAAATGTGTTTTGAGCAAAGACGCCTAATATTTTTGATGTTTCCTGCGACTAGCAAAACTTTTTTCTTTCTGGCTGGGAAAACTTAATATCTAGATATTGTTTGAAGTTTCCTCTTTAAAGTGACATTAAACATTCCTCATTAGAATAACCTAAAAATAGAATTCAGACCAAATATTAATGGGTTGTCCTGATTAGAAAGACAAATCTAATGAGGACCATTCTGCTCATCGTTYTGAAAATGGTATTAATGTTATTGCGATGACAGCATTTAACCCCAATGTACTGATTTTCTCACACCTGTTTACTGCTCATGAAGGAGCACTTTCTGAGCTTTTTCCAAATTCATTAAAGTCTTTTTTTTAAATAGCCAGATCCTCTTAAGAGAGTGCTAGAACATCACTGAAGATGTAGACATTTACTTCCAAAATGATTATTAAATTGCTTTTTTTTCCCCCAGTGGGACCAGGAAAACTAAGAACACTGTTTAGACAAGGTGTACAAGATGAAATATTGGTGCAGACTGCAGTACAGTAAAATATTTATTTGTTTTATCCAAAACTTGAATCAAAGCAATCAAATAACTGAGAAAAAACACGTCTATAAACTTTAATTAGACCAGCCGTGTTCAGACATGCACAACTTCTGTCCCTCTGTGGGTTTCTTTGGACTTTTGTGAAAGGAAATCTAAAAAAAAAACATGTTTTGCCTGTTTCCAGCTTTTACTCGTTCAGTAAATCTGCAACCAGTGTGCTTTTCTCTCTCTGTAATAATTAACAATTTAAAGTAGTGACTCAGATTTTATGTTGCAGGCTTTGGCTGTGCAGAGGCTTTTTAAACGCGATTCATTGATTTTCCAAGCTGTGATTTGTTTATAGTTTGGGTTATTAAAAAGGTTATTTACAGCCCGGTGGAAGTTCTTGTTGGCTGTTATTCCTTGTATAAATGTAGTGCAAACAGTGTCTTAACGCTGTCTTAACGATCTGCACTGTCGTGGATTTCTCTGCAGAGAATTTACTTGCTTCCTAAATACTTGGATCTTTTTGTTTTCTTGCCTTCAGGACACTTTTCGTGTGCGGTCGTTTGGCACAAGCCACAGGTGTAACGACTAAATAACCTTTTTAGGTGTACCTCTGTTACAAGTTAAAATCATAAAAGACTTTAATACCTTGAAGAACTTCAGTCACGGTTCACTTTACCTCACCTACGTGGTCACAGTGACCTCAAATGCACCAATTACTTTTTGGGAATAGTTGAATCAAAGCGTACACGTGCCGTCAGAAACTGCTGATGCTCGTGCACAATCARGCCCTCTCAGATGCTTCTTCGCCCACTCGTCCTCACAGCGGGACCCTGCCACGTCTCCGAGAATTCCCATACCTGTGTAATCATGTTATGCCCACGCATCACACTTTAAACACCCACTAAGCCTCAGCTGTCCGTGCAGCACATAACAACCACCTACACGTTCTTTTTAAAGCCGCWGCCAAGTTCCTTCCTCCATGTCTGTTAATAACCCTGCTCTGTCCTGTCTGTCAGACACTGTGTGTTGGAAACTCTCACAAGGCCGCGTGCATGTGTTGGGAGGCGGAGGGGAGATGTGAGACACAACTGTGCTTGGGTGTTGGTGTGCAGTTGAGCCTTGCTTCTCAGAGGCCAGGGAACAGCTGCTAATACACATGAACACACACACCTACGCACACAATCTGTCTGGAACTGAGAGTGCTCCTATTCGCTAAGGAACAAGGCTGTTTCATGTGTGTGTGACTGTCTTGTTTCAGCTGGCCCGAAATAGCTGGTCTCACAGTGAGTCACTCCAGAAAGCCTGAAGGGGACTTGGTGTGTGAACGAGGCACTCCGACTTTCTGTGGGTGCACTTGACTGCGTGAGCTTGTTTGTCTTTGCGCTCTTGATGACAGCACCCTCTCGACTGGTTACATTTATCAGGACGTAACAGATGGATTTGACWCGCTCGCGCCCTTGCCAGCTTTAATGCTCGGCCTCTGTGCAATCTGTTGCTCCGTTTTTTTGTTTACAGGTTTTGTTTACCTGGTTGATGCGTATTGATTCAGACCAGATTAAATCAAATCAGAAAGGAATAACCTTGAATTCTGTGTACGTGTCCCGCTGTAAATGTCTCCATGCTAACCATGTTCTAAGTGAATCAAATGCAGCTCCAGGGACACTCAATGCTGATTAGAGGAGCAAGAATAAATTTAGTCATCAATGTGGACACAACTCTATTTGGATTTTTTGTTGGGAAAAGGTTAAAGAATAGAAAACAAAGTCAATGTATTATGTATTAGCTGTACATAATTTTCAAATTTATTTTTTACTGTATATATAATTTGATGTAAGAATGCACAAATATGAAAATTTCAGCCGATATCGAMATCCAATATAATTATTGCTGTTATGGCCAATAACCGATATTTACCGATATTACACAAACACACAAATTATATTATACATATACGCACACAAATTATATTGTACATATACGCACAAACACACTTGGGTCTTTTTTTGATGCTGTAAATAAACAACCAGACCTCTGACATGGCTCCCTACTTTAGTTATTCCTGGCTACGCAGCGTCAATAAGTAAGTAAAGTTTTYTTTATAAAGTGCCTTTCACAGAAATATATTCACAAGGTGCTCTACAATCATCAACAATGTAAAAATGGTGGAAAGATAAAATGAAACAATAAAACATAATAAAACATAAACAGCATATGAAACATCAAATCAAGAATAAATCCTAAAATTGTAACTCAGACGCATGGTCGAGGCAGAGACATGACAAGAGACGAGTGTTATGTATGCAAGACTGTACAAATCATAATAAGAAAAATTGTTGAATAAAAAAAGCGGGGGTGAAATTTATGCTAAATATACAATAATGCAAAAACAGAGAGAAGGGAGAAAGACAAAACTATGCCATATATTCAATAATACAAAAGCACATAGTTGGCGAGCAGTCACTAAAGGGCTTGGCATGGCATTAATGGTGAGTGGTTAGTTAAACGCTTGAGTAAAAAAGTGYGTTTTTTAGGAGTTTCTTGAAAGAGACAATGTTGTCTAGGGAGCGCAAATTAACAGGGAGTTCATTCCAGAGCCTGGGGGCCACAGAGGACAAGGCACGGTCACCACGGGTCTTGATGGAAACATTTTTAGGAGATTTTGATACTGTGAGCGTAGGTCCCGTCTGTGGTTGTAAGGGGAAATGAGACTTTTAATGTATTCAGGTGCTTGGCCATGAAGAGCTCTGAAAGTGAGGACCAGGATTTTGAACCTGATTCTGAATTGAACAGGAAGCCAGTGAAGTTCTGCTAGGATCAGGGAGATGTGGGTGAATTTGGAGGTTTGAGTTAGGAGTCTTGCTGCCGAGTTTTGGACAAGCTGAAGGCGATTTAACTGTTTCTGGTTTAGGCTGGTGAACAAGCTATTACAATAGTCTATGCTGTTATCACTGGCAATATCACTATCCTGATCAAACAGATGCTGCTCAACCAACCATCTCTCCTCCCAAAACAGAAACACAAAGCTAAAATGTGGAAAATCAATATCAGATGTTAATATCGGCCCAGTTTTACATATCGTATCGATACCAATATTCTAAAAAATGACCACTATCGGCCAATACCGATATTAATGCCAGTATATCGTGCATCCCTATTTTGATGCTTGCTAAACACATTAAGTGACACAGTCTTGCTCATCTTTGGCTCTCATCCCAGGTCCATACATGGGGGCGGGCAAGAGCAAGCCCAAGGAGCCAGGCCAGCGCTCCATGAGCCTGGATGGCACCATTGGCACAGGCTCAGATAGCGGACACTTCCCCCACCTGGGCCCCGCTCAGCAGACCCAAACCCCCAACCGAAGCCCCGCCGTTGGAACGGGCAGGCGGGGACACCAAGGGCAGCACCAGCTCGCCCCAACGAATACACCCGAACTGGCTCTTTTCGGAGGGGTGGACCACACGGGAATGGTCACATCACCCCAGAGAGGACCGCTGTCAGGTAAGAAATGAGGAAAAAGCCAGGAAACAACAGCGTTTCGTTTAAGAACCACACAAAAATATATCAGTTTTAGTAAGATGTAAATTTATCTTCAGTTTTATTCTTGTGCTTTTCATAACAGGACATAATAAGATATCATGAGAAGCTTAAGTCAGACTGTGCAGTAGAGATAGTTACATCCCAGTATCTACATGCCTCAGTTAGTTTGGTAAATGTTGGCAATTGTGACAATACAATTAGAAAAAAGACTAAACAAGTTCAGCTTGTTTTAGAAGGGCTTTCAGGGTAAAGGTTCTTATCTTTTATACAAAAAACATGACACCACGGCAGAGGTTTATAAAAGTTTTGTCTGCACAAACCACAGATCTACATTAGCAGTGTTCAAAGTGGAGACGTTTGACCACAATGCACAGCTTTTGGATGAAKTAAAGCACATCAACAAACACATCCTATCGAACTGTGAAGGACAAGAGATAAATTGGAARTTAATGTGCAACTTAAGAATCTGAGCACACTGAAGTCATTTTGCCGCCAAAGTTTTCTGAAATGTTTTCAAGTCAAATGTGAGGCTCTTTTGTTCGACAGCTGAATCGTGGCTCAAACTGGGTCACGCAATAGGGGAAAAATCTGAAACGCTGAAGCAAATGTACAGTAAAATGGCTGAAAACAAAAAGAATCAAAGCATCTGAATGGCAAAGTCAAGATCTCAGTCTGCTTGAGATGCCGTGGTAAGGTGTAAACAAATATTTGCAAACCTCCATGAACACTGCAAACACCTGCGTTTTTATAACCCTCCTTAAATTATGTGAGACTGAGAAACTGTTAAGCTTATACAAAGACAGTTAATTAAGTCATGTCAGATAAAAGTCATTTTATAAACTCCATATCCTGTTTAGCTTAGCTTTTGTTAAACATACCTCACTATGGTGAGAAGTGCCCCTTATCATTGATCTGTGGTTGTTTTTAGCTCAGATTTAAAGACCAGCAAGGACAAGTTGATTTCATTTTGCCTTGATAGAAAAACTCAGAAGTGAAAGAGGATATTTTTAGATTTMAACCATAACTGTGTATAACTAATATCTTGTTATAAAGGAACTGAAAAATAGAGCTTTAGAGTTGCTTGAAAGCAGTTATTTTCCTACGAAATTGGAATATGAAATTGCTAGTGTTAAAACTAAAATCTGACGAACTGATTTCATAAACTCTGCTGACCTGTTTGGACTTCTTCATACAAACTTGTTTTCTGTTGAAGACCACAAAGGTTATGAGAAATGCATAAAAAGCTACTCGCCATTAATCATATGTACACAGAAAAAAACTGTTTCTTCTATCTACCATCAAACACATTAGCTGAAAGTGTTCTTTTTGACACTGCCAGTGTGCTGCGGTGTCGACGGTGTATTCGATGTTTAACCCGTCTAGACAAGCCAGATGGTTGATGTTGCTCCATGCAGGGAGCAGAACATTTCTCCTAACTACTACCTCCTGCCAGGCGTTTAATGAGCCAATCGGTTATGGGCTTGGGAGTTTCTCGATTTAGATAGCAAGTGTGTGAAAACAAAGAAATGTGCCAAAGAAAACAAAACAAAAAAACATTTATGTGTGCCACTTTACAGTAAAGGCTCCCCTTTATAGATGGGTAATAAATAGTTTATAGATAGGTTATTGATTCATCTGTAAAGACTTTATAAATAATTAATAAATGTTTATTATGGATTAGTTAAGAACGGAAAAGAGACAAAATAGGAAAAGGTAGAAGATACAAAGAGACAAGACTGTCCGGTTTCTTGCCAAATGGAGCCAAATCTGTTTTGTGTACATATTACTAGGTTTGTAAGCACAATTATGTATTAGAAACACATATTTAAAAATAATATTGTACTATATTACTGAATTATACATATTAACAACTGTCAAAGGGAGCCTTATTTTAAAATGTAAGACAGTAGGTACACTATTAATGACTAATAAACTTGTATAAATGCCATAAAGAGCCTTATTGTAAAGTGTAAAACAGTACACTATTTATAAGGCTCTATCATGACATTATTAGTCATTAATAAATGGTATACTGTTTTACACTTTACAATAAGGCTCCCTTTGATTACWGTAGATATGTATAATGCAGTAATACAGGACAATATTATATGTAAAATATGTTTTTTCAATAAATTATAGTGCTTAAAAGATAGTAAACTAGTGTAAAATGTTTAATATAGCACCTTTTAGATGTAATATATACATGAACAGATTTGGCTCACTATTTGGCAAGAAACCAGACAATTTTGTCTCTTTCCCATCCTTAGTTAATGAATAATAAACATGTATTAATGATTTATAAAGTGTTTACCGACAAAATAATAACCTAACTATAAACTATTTACAAGCCATCTATAAGGGGAGCCTTATTGTAAAGTGGTACCCATTTATGCAATAGTAGTCTTCAAGGACCTTTAGTTAGAGGTCACCTAAATGTCAGTTTACTGCWTTAGGCTTTGGTTAATTGTGAGAAAAATGGAACTGATCTGAATAAAGAGACTAAATCCTTGTTTTGAATGGTAGACGGAAGCCCCCTTTAATTTGTTTGGAGCGTCTGCAGTTACAGTTATGACTAACTGGATGTCTGTCTCTGTGTGGGCTTCTTGCAGTAGGTGTCACTACATTTGTGGCGCTGTATGACTATGAGTCACGGACGGCATCTGATCTGACCTTCAGGAAAGGTGACCGGCTGCAGATCGTGAACAACACGTAAGAATCGATCATCCTTAATCTTTCTTTGTTTTGTTTCGATTTTTTTTAAACTGATGCAACAAATTTGCAAATGATGAAAACAAACATGTCCTCACGGCTGCGTTACTTCTCCAATTTCAATTCAGCTCAGCTCCGTTTTCTWTTTATAGCACTGATTCACAACAAAAGTCATGTCAGGGTGCTTGTACAAAAGGAATAAAGGAGTGTTAATCACAAATCAAATTTAGTTCCTGATTCTAATTCAGTCACAGTCAATTCAGTTATTAGAATATAACAAACCTAAAGAAAGTACGTTATTAAATGTAGTAAAAAGTTATCCTGTGAAGCCACTTCACTTTGTCACAATTTCCCATTCTGAGGAAGCACACGACATAATCAACACCTAAAATWTAAGTTTCATTCAAAATATAAGCAGAATAAAATATCAAAGCACTGATTAAGCTTGTCTTCCTACTATTTTTAAAATCTAATTTCAAAAGGATGTAGTGAGACAGCAGGTGTAGCTCCCTTTCTTTCGCGGTACAAAGGCTTTATTTTTGGCCGTATGCA